ATTGTAATTCGCTACATCACGCTGCCTTGTCTGTGTTGTTGCGGCCTCAGAGCCAGGCGTAACAGACACAAAGACAAAAGCGTTTCTCTAACACTAAGATCATGGCTGATATAAATGTTAATCGGGTTAGTGAGAGGAATTTGAACCTTCCTCTCATCATACATACCAACACTGACTCAAGATAGTTACATAATGGGTTTGGAGGAAGTTGGCTCCATGAACTAAAGTTTGGATAAATCCTGTTGTTGATGTAATTTCTTGAATTTATGTGTTTTGTTTTAGGATGGTACAGAGCCAGTTGTGAAGGATGTGCACCCAGGAGACAGTGTCCACAGCCTGCTCAGTATTCTGGACATCATCACTGTGAGCTCTTTATTTCTCCTCCATCTTCACGTCCGGCATTTCCTTCCGTCCTCTGAACTGTCTGCGTCTCCACTCTGTCTCTTCTCTCCGCTGTTTATACTGTTTATACCCATGCATCTCAATATAATTCATTTGAATTCCTTTGTTTATTTAGTGACCTCACATTTTGCTCAGGTCGTGTTTCAATTTCCTGGTTACACTGTCCTTTGCTCAGCCATTTAGATATAACGTCTTGAAGCTGCATCCTCAAGGAACATGTGTTTAATGTAATATTTTTCAGAGCTCGTATTGCTGACAGTTTACTTCACTCCAATAATTCAATTTTTCCAACATTTGAAAGTTAGAAACATCAGGTAGAGAAACCTGTTGGAAATAGAAGTTAGACATAAAAATTGCTGTTTTATGATATTTTTGACTGCTGCCAGCATTTTAAGACAGAAACATTCTTGTAAGCGTATGTATCCAATAATTATGCTACAAGTTAAAAATGCTGTAAGCACCAAGTAAAATATATATATATATGCGTGTACGGGCCAAAATCCCCCCGATACCCCTGCCCAATACCGTTCAAGGAAGTTGCTCCCTTTTTAATCTTGGAAGACTTACTACAACAGGCACGCAGCTGTTTATCAGGCCAACCTCAGCATGYCTTCAACCTCACAGGAGTGCCCCACAACACCCAGTGTACAATCTCCACCCGTACACAAGAAAGGGCCCAAGACACTGTATGGTTAGCTTGATATAGTTTTCAGTTGATTTAATGAAGGTAAAACACAGTGAATGGCCGTGCGTAATGGCACTGCGCTCTGACGAAGCACTTCTCTGGCACTGGAGAAGCTGCTGTGGCTACAGGGATTTCGTGAACTGAAAGAGAAGCGACACAGCTTTTGGCACGTTACTCACACAGCGGCCTGCGGACAGACAGACAAATGCATAATGAGATTATGCCGAAATATTGAATATATGGAATGAAACTTTGAATATATTGAATGAAACTTTGAATATATTGAATGAAACTTTGAATATATACATTTGTCTGTCTATATATCAGTCCAAATAATTACTCCATGGGCAAATCCAATGAGGTGGCCATCTACAATGACAAAGTTTTAGTGACTGTGCAGTGTCTTATTTTCTAACAGTTTTTTTCTTGTCTTTACCAGGGTTATCCAGCTCCATATAAGACTGTATCAGCACGAGCTGCAACCCGCTCCACCATATTACGTTTACCTGCATCTGCCTTTGAGTCTGTTTTTAAGAAATATCCAGAGACCCTCGTGCGGGTCATTCAGGTAAGAGATTACATAAAGAAGAATGAGCAGTGTGCAGCATTTGTTTTGCACTGAGACAAAACTCTCTTTGACATATCACTGAATAAAACACCATCTAATTTAGATGTAACCACAGCTTGGTTTATACATTCTGCTTTGTTTATCTCGGTGTTTGACTCGGTGTGTGTTGCAGATAATCATGGTGCGCCTCCAGAGAGTCACCTTCTTGGCGTTGCATAACTATCTGGGCCTGACAACTGAGCTCTTCAATCCGGTAGGAGGGACGTTAATTAGTACACAAGAATTTGTGGGTATACACACATACTGTCACACAGAGAGGCTCATGTTGAATACCAAAGCACCAGTCATTTGTACATAAATGAGCACAGAAGGACAAACACACAAACACTCAGCCACAAACATGCGAGCTAATTTCACACAACATTAAGCACAGCATCATAACTCAGTCCTTCATAAAGGCTCAGTGAAAATTTATAAAAATGATCATAACAGGGGGACGAGCAGCCTTCAGACATGGCTCTGACTTTATTATCACCAATAATAAGCTTTAATGTTGTCATTTTATGTTAAATATGTCAAAGTATGTTCACTTTTCCTTTTTGGATTTTTAAAAAAATATTTTAAAGACTGTAATAATAAGTTGAAATGTGTAATACATGAAATACCATTAAATGTTAACATGAATGTGATGTCATCATTTGGATGGTGTCACTGATATGTTGTTATCAACTGGCACCCCTTAGAAAAATGTATTTATTTTTTATTCAAACTAAACCATCTGCCAAACTTATTCTTTCTAGAAATGTGTACTTTGCCCAAAACCCAGTGACCTTAATGTCTCTGTCTCCTTATGCTTCCGTTCTATTGCGTATATACATATGTATTGTTCAGTTAAATGTTTCAGGGTGACTGCAAATGTAACTGTAACTGAAATGTGGACCTTTAACTGATTTGTTTTGTTGCCTAATCGACAGGACAGCCAGGCAGTGCCCTTATCCAACATAAACAGTGTTATGGCTGAGGCAAATTCTGGGAAGATGACTCGTCGTCTTCACTTTCAGGACGAGGTACCTGCTGGGACCATGGAAGGCCCTGTAGAGTCAGGTCCTGTAGTCACACACACGCACACAATTTCAAACATATACTAAACGCACACTTAAAGCTGTGCTCTGTGTTAAGCTGAAATTCATCCAGTGTTGCTCTTCACTTAACATTAAACAGATGGTGTAAAAGATAGCCCATCAAATAGCTGCAGGAAGCTACGGTCCATCACCATTCCTACCGACTGCACAGGTGGGTGCCTGTCTGGCACTGAAACAATCACTAAATGTCATCTGTATTAATTTCCTGCACAAACTTATCACAGTCGCTGATTGGAAAATAAGATTACACACAGATATGCTCACCCATAACCCTCTTGTCACAGGTAATGACCTGAACATGGCTTGTGAACGAGCTCGAGTCACGATAGAGGAGGCACTGTCCAGTCCTGTGACTCAAAAGGTAAATCCCTAACATGACAGCAGGGCTTAGAACTGTAGATGGAACACCATATCCCAGCATCCTCTGCATCCTTGTCTTGTTCTTTATTAGTCTCTCTCCCATGTCTGTGTCTCTAGTCCAGTCTGAAGAAGAGTGTGACGATGCTGCACACACCCTCTGAAGTGTTTCACTACACAGACAGTGGGGGGCACTCTGATGCCATCCACCTCAGTAAGAGCAGCACAATCCTCCAGGCTGCTAAGAGAGACCTGCTGGGAATCATCCAGCTGCAGGTGGGAGGTTGATCGCAGAAAATTCATATCAACTGGTATAAATGTATAAATGGGATTACATCATTGTAAAAACAAAGCTCATATTCATTTTGCTTGAACAGTATGTTGTGCAATGTGACACATTCTGATGGCAGCTCTACACCAATACAGTGCAGTATGTTTTGGGTGTTATAATAATAATAATAATAATAATAATAATAGGCACATATTCTGAATACATTTCTTCTATTGCAGGATCCAACTCTGCTCGAGGGCAGAGTCACGCTTCATCAAGTCAAAGCAGGTTCTGTGGTGGCTCGTCAGGGAGACCAGGTTAGAACCACAACTTGACAAAGAGTGTTTCAGTTGTTGCAGTTTCGCAACACACTAGTATTTTCCATTGGTTATTGATACTTGTTGGCACTGATGTTCTTAACACTGTGGGGCATCTCCCCCTGAAGGATGTAATTTCTTTGTTACGAGTCCTATCAATGAGGGAGGGCAGCTACTGTGTTCCACATTTTATTTTATGCTTGTTAAGGTTAATATATGATAAAAGCCTGACTGATCTTCTCTCTTCAGGCTTGGTCTGTAAAACTAGAGATATTTTCTGACGACTTGTCATGTCACGCACGACTTTTCTCTTCTCTGCGCTTTAGGAGGTGAGCATCCAGTTTGTGATATCCGGCCTACTCCACGTTTACCAGCGGATGATTGACCGCGAAGAAGAGACACGTCTGTTTGTGACGCACCCCGGGGAGCTTGTAGGCCAACTTGCTGTACTGACAGGAGAGCCGCTCATATTCACTGTCAAAACTCAGAGAGACTGCAGCTTCCTCTCCATTTCCAAAACCCACTTCTATGAGTCAGTCGTGCCCGCACTCATCCATGCAAAATACTGTAGAATTAAGTTGACAAAAACCGTAAAAGAACAATAATGGTCCGTCGGTTCTCTTTTACCTCCTTTTTACTCTTGACTGTTGTCTCTTCCTCAGGATAATGCGTGTGGAGCCCAATGTTGTGCTGAATGTTGCTCACACAGTGGTGAGGAGGATGTCATCTTTTGTCAGACAAATAGATTTCGCTCTCGACTGGATGGCCGTGGAAGCTGGCAGGGCTGTCTACAGGTATTTGGTTGATGTCATTGTATATTTTTGAAAAATGTTCTTTCACGAAACACGGACAACTTTAAAAACACTACTGCACTCATGAAGGCGCAGGAGGGCTTTGTTATATCCAAACTAAATGAGTCAATAGTGGAGGCAACTCAAATCTTAGTTTTTGGGTTCACAAGCTTGTTTACAGATTTGCAGTGAATTCAAGTTATCTTTATTTTTCAGGCAGGGAGAGAAATCAGACAGTACGTTCATAGTACTGAGTGGTCGACTTCGCTCTGTAATCATGAAGGAGGACGGCAAGAAGGAGCTGATAGGAGAGTATGGACGCGGTGACCTGATTGGAGTGGTTAGTATCATGGATGAGAAGACAGGCGGTGGATAGTGGGTTAAAAAATTTGAATATCTACTGTGTGAGCACTGGTTTATTTGTTCCCTTTAGTATCCTCATAAATGTTGATGACAGTAGATCAGCATTAATATTGCTGAGTTTTGATAATGTATAACAGCAGGTTATTTAATTAACAGTAGTTGGTCATTACTTCCAGTAAATAAATCATCCATCCATTATCTATAGCCCTTATTCTGTGAGCGTCACAGGGGTTAGCTTGAACCAATCCCAGCTGACATGAGGCGGGGTACATCCTGGAAAGGTCACCAGCATATCGCAGAGCCGACCTACAGAAACAACCATTCATGGTCACGGTCACACCTAAGGGCAATTTAGAGTCTCCAATTAACCGAACCCCAGTGTGCATGTCTTTGGACTGTGGGAGGAAGCTGAAGTATCTGCAGAAGACCCACGCAGACAGGGCCAGTAAATAAAACACATAGAATGAAACACCTAACTAACCACCAGCTACAAGTTACATAAATTTGCATTTACCAAAAATAATAAGTCACCTTACATATATTATTCTTAAATACTGTTTTTACGTTCCAGTCTGTCGGAGGAAGTGCGAGTGTGCAAACAGTAGTGGTCTCTTCATTTCTCATCTGGTTTTGTAGGAAGTTTCTGTATTTAACATTGGCTGGTCTCTGCCACAATGGCTGTAATAAAAGCTGGGCTGATGGATGCTATGGTTACTGTTACCTGGAGAAGGGAACCAGTCATTGCTGCTTCTGTGGGAATAAAGTTGTCAGAAAGGTGTCTAATATGCAGAGACATATTTAGTACTTAAGCATTGACGTCAGGTGTGAATGATGAGATGGGGAGATCTTATTTATAGTGTCTTGATTAATACATGTTTTGATAACTCTGAAATGTTTGCAAGTGGCAAAACAAGGCTCAGCCTTCTTGAACACAAAACCATCATAGAGTAATTTTATTTGATGAAAAATGTTTTCTTCATGTGAAGCTTTATTTAGAAGTACATCATGTGTCATGTTGCACAGTGTTTAAGAAGTACTGAGATTTATATTCAGCCCTTTTGTTTTCTGCCCATATATAAACAATGTAACGTGTCCCTCTTTTCTCTGCAGGTTGAAGCCCTGACCCATCAGAACAGAGCCACCACCGTGCACGCTGTACGAGACTCTGAGCTGGCCAAGCTACCGGAGGGAGCTCTCAGCTCCATCAAGAGGAAGTTCCCACAGGCAGGGCGAACCTCAAGTGTTTCATTTAATTCAGCTTATGTGAAAACACTATTATTATTTTTTTTCTTAATAGATGTGTGGTAATTTCCAAAAGCTTGGAAAATTGAGTTGATTGAACCTTTTCCTAATTAATTAATTAATTAACAGTTTGAATAATGAATGTTGAACCACAATAATATGGATTAAGGATTTCCAAAGGTTTTTCTATTAATCTTTAGCCTTTTAAATAAAAGAAAAAAAAGATTTGCTGTACAAAAGGAAGCATTGCTGTGCGCCTGATGAATAACACAGAGCTGCTTCTCAGGTTGTGACCAGGTTGATCCACTTACTTGGACAGAAGATCCTCCAGCAGGTCAACGGTCCTCTGACAAGTATGTGTCTCTGCATGTGCAAAGTTATGTCTTATATGTCAATATATCTGCCAACACGCTGTGTTTTACAACATATAAAGTTGAAAGAGAGGTTTTTCTTATATCTTCTTCATGTCTCCAGCTCGCAGTTTGGCACTCCACACTCCCGGCAGTAAATGGGATGCAGGGAACCAAGCATCCAACCTCTCAACTGTGACCGTCCTGCCTGTTTCAGAGGAGGTCCCTCTGACTGCCTTTACCCTGGAGCTGCAGCATGCTCTCATCGCAATAGGTAAAAATAAATAAGTAAAAAAAGATGGTGATATTTTTCAGTTCATCTTTTATTTTAGGGACTACATGTTATTGATGCCTTGAGTCTTAAGTCCTGCATATAAACTAGATCATAGACTGTATATAAAGATGGACAAGAGTCTCCACTTTCTCCCACCATCCAGAACCAAAGTCAACATATATGTGGTTGCTGTCATCTTGGGCATTTGATCGGGAATTGCTCTGCAGTAACAAGGTCTCGGCCCATTCGTGAGCTCAGCTCTCAATAACAAAGTTTCATCCCGTTTTCATTGCAACAAATAACAAATAAAACCAAAGTAACTGGAAAATAAACCCATTAGCAAACATCAGTGTGATTAGAACTACCTAAAATGATACGACATGTATTTTGACTTAGTTTTGCCCATGTCCCTTTTACTAACCCATGTCCCTTTTTATACAGTCTATGGCATAGATCATATGCAAACTCAGTGAATGAAACAATCAAATAAGCTACTTTAATATTATCTTCTGTATTTATTTTAGCAAATCAAATTGTTTTTCATAGCACCTTAGGACACGTCACCTGTTTTAAGTCAAATGGATTAAAGTGTTTGACAGTAACTGCTGTGATCTTCAACATTCAGGCCCCACTCTGCTGCTGACTAGTGACGTTATCAAACAGCGACTTGGAGCTGCAGCACTTGACAGGTACGTTTTTGGCAGAAGTTCTCTTCAGTGGTAGTAATAGTACTGAACAAACAGGCCAACATCTTTTCCTCTGTTCTGCTTCTTTGGGCTTTTTCTCTTTGTGACTCATTGATTAAATTCTATTCAAGTTTGCTTTATTGGCACAACAGCAAAATTGATCTATGTGCTGCCAACGAGGTAATGCTTCCAGTCATTAATAGACTCCTTTTCCTCTTCAGCGTCCATGAGTACCGCCTGTCCAGCTGGCTGGGCCAACAGGAAGACCTCCATCGTATAGTTCTTTACCAGACTGACTACACACTGACGCCGTGGACACAGCGGTGCATCCGTCAGGCCGACTGCATCATCATTGTGGGAATCGGGGAGCAGGACCCTGCTGTCGGGGAGGTGAGATGTTGAATTAGTCATTTATAATTGGCTTTCCAGTCCAGCATGTTTGATCGATTTATGGATAAATTAAATCTATCTATTATTTTTTTGGACATTTATTATATGTCCTCTTCACAATAAAATACGTCACAAGTTTCTACATCTCAATCTGACGTCTTATAATTTCCTGTTTTTTCTAAGCAGCTGTTCAAAACCCAAAGATCTTTTTTTTATTATTATTTTCACTCAATTTGCAATGAGTTGTTCAGACAGTCTGATTTTAGTTCCTGTCTAGGCACTCAACACCAAGACCTCTAGTTTATTTTCAAGGCTAGTGTTACTTTTTCAGCATTCATTAGTATGTGAAGGTCCACGAAGTCTGTGTTACGTACATTTTGTCATCAGGGTTTATATTTTTGCTCTGTGTGTTATCAGGCTGAAATGTTGGGAGAGCAGGTCTGTCTGCTCTGATTTAAAGTCATTTTCCTCATGAATAATGGTTAAACCCAGAGGTTAACCAACACTGTGGTCACACGGGCGGTTAATGGTTTATATTTGACCTTTGGACAGGGGAGGAATGAGCTAAAGGGTGGGTGGATGTTGTGAAAGAGTGGCGGGCGGGGCTGCAGAGAAAGCGAGTTCATGTCCAGCTGATGAAGGACAGGTAATTGCCTTCATGTGGAAAAATGGGTGCAGAGGAAAGAAAGCAATGTATGCCTGTACAATGGGAGCTGGTGGGAGAAATGGAAAGATGGATCAATATTAGGTTAGGCACGGAGTGAGTCATTGCTCGGGGTTGATTTTATTTTTCCGGACACACCTTTCACATACACTACATCTAAAAATAAAATGAAATACATACAAATATATTTTTATCTCTCAAGTAACCTTATTATTTGTGCTAGTATTACTCATCGTGCTACCTAAGATTCTTAAATATAAATATAGTATACATGTAGCTGTTCAGGTACAATGGTACATTTCATAATAACTTCTGGAATGACTCCCTTAAGTTATTACTCAGCATAAACATGAAGCTGAAATCACATATCTGCTGATATTGTGTTCACTTGAACTCAGTGTTTCCAGGAGTTGCAGTATTTTCGAGGGCTGGTGCTCATTATTCCATCTGTGCAAGCAGGAGTCCCTCTGTAGAGAAGTGCGGAGACTAAAAGGTTCTCAAAAATCTGTGCTTGATGCCTTTTCTTAGCTGGAGCGCATGTTAGAGGGAAGTGCAGTACGTGCTCAGAAGCAGCTGGTGCTGTTGCACAGAGAAGACGGCCCCCAGCCCAAAGGAACTGTGGACTGGCTGAACATGAGAAGCTGGATCTCCAGACACCTCCACCTCTCCTGTCCCCGAAGGGTCTTCTCCAAGAGAAGTCTGCCCAAACTGGTAGGAATGAAAAATTGTGTTTCTGATCTTTATCTCCTTCTTACTGCCCCCCTCTTAATCTTTTGTGATCTTTTTATATCTTATTTAACGTCTTCATATTTTTTTTGTCATCCATTTAATTCCTCTAAATTTTTTCCACTCCTCCTCGCTACTTTTATGACAATAATAATTTTTTTCAGTTGGAGCTGTACCAGCGTGTGTTTGAGAAACCAGCAGACCGCCACTCTGACTTCTCCCGTCTTGCTCGCGTCCTCACGGGCAATGCTATCGCCCTTATTCTAGGAGGAGGAGGAGCAAGGTAACAATGGCCTAATGGATGTTATAAATGTCAGATTGTCATTTTTTCTTCTTTTTATTAGTCGCTAATACATCTAAGCCTTTTTGGTTAACACTTTAAATCCTCCTGTTCAGGGGTTGTTCCCAGGTGGGGATCTTGCGAGCTCTCTGCGAGGCCGGCATCCCGGTGGACCTCATTGGCGGCACTTCCATTGGGTCCCTAATGGGGGCACTATATGCTGAAGACCGCAGCCACTCCCGCATGAGGATGAGGGCCAAAGAATGGGCAATGGTGAGAGTCAAAGAAACTAAAACAGCATGACTCTAGAATATATTGGCAAGGACGCATGATATTTGTGTCAGAAAATTATTGATACTTTGACACAAATTGACCTTGACTAAACATTTTCAGGATCTTATATAACATCATGCAGCCTTGACAGAAGACCTACGAGTGTTTTCTTCTCACATGACATTTTGTAATTATCTCTAAAATCCATTAAACTACTTGTGACAAAAGTTTTCATTTAGGAAATTAACAGAATTCTGTTTTTGGAGAAGAGGAGCAGAGTTCAACAGCTCCTTCTCCACACGCCCCAGCGTCTCTTAGAGAGAAATCTTTTTTGCTGTAGTCGGTCTCTGTGAAGGTAATTCTTTCTAACAGCAAATGATTTAATTCTAATGCAGTTCAAGAATTAATTCTGCTGTATAATGAACCGTGCTGTGCTGATTAACCATCAAATGTGATGTTACTGTTGTTCATACAGCGCTTGATGACTTTCACATTAAACTCAAGAATAGATCCTTTTTTAGTTGTGATATGAAATTCCTCCTCAGGTTTTTTAATACTGTGACCATCCATGGAGCCATGTGAGTCAGATGTGTCCTCCCTCAGTGTACCCAGCCCCTCCTCTTGGCCTTGTCCTTGGCTCTGAACAGTCCCTGTAGAAGCAGCTGGCTGGGTCGCTGCTCCTTTAGTTTTAAATTAGAAGAGCCACTGTTGCAATAAAAAGGGCTCTATTTTAATGACCTAAGCGCATGGTCCAAAGCACATGGCACAAGTTCTTTAAGGGCGATTCCTAATCCACTAGTTCAACAGTAAAATAAAGTTTGATGCATCAGGCACGTGTTTCACAAGGGTTGCAAATATACAAATGTTTAACCAGATGTGGGGACTTTGTGGTCACCCCTCATGAGAACTGGAGAACAACAACCAATAAAAGCCTGTGTACACACGAGGAGGTTGGCATAAAGAAAGCACCTCATACAGCATCCTTCAAAACAATGTCACAACCCATCAGATCTTCTTTTACATCAAATTCAATTTTAAGTGAATAAATGTGTTTTGTAGATTATGGAACCATTTGACCTTTGATTTCTCTTCCCTGCAGGAAATGACGTCAGTGTTTAAGAAGGTTCTGGATTTAACATACCCGGTCACCTCCATGTTTTCCGGGGCTGCCTTCAACTCCAGCATCAGCAACGTCTTCAAGAGTAAACAGATCGAGGTTAGAGAGATTTTACTACAGACCCAACAGAACCCGAACTGAAACGTGGACAGAGAGGCCAGTGAACGTTTCAGCTGATTACGATGTGAAAAAGGGAAAAGCAAACGTATCATGAACTTATTATGTTGATCTGTTTGGATGTAACCTTTTGTGTACGCAGGACCTTTGGATCCCATATTTCAATATCACAACTGACATCACTGCCTCGGCCATGAGGGTACACACTGATGGTACGTCTCCCAAAAAGAAATGTTCTTAACTCAAATAGTATTAAGCTCTGCAGATAGTTCCTGTTTTTATTTTAGATCTCTTCCACCACTGTCCCCTCAGATAAACTGACCCTTTCTTTAGTCCCATTCATGTGTTTCATCTTCTGTTGATTCAGTTTGGTTGTATTGCTTAATAGGTACATAACTGAAAGATGGGACTGTTTTCTGTTTCAGGCTCTCTGTGGCGATACGTCCGCTCCAGCATGTCTCTTTCTGGGTATCTCCCTCCTCTCTGTGACCCCAAAGATGGACACTTGCTGATGGACGGAGGCTACATCAACAATCTGCCTGGTTTGTTACACTGAAGCTGTTTACACACATGAATTCTTGAAAATGTACGGACCCAATTTTCCAGGGTCGGACGCATTCTCAAGATCAGGAGAGTTTCCGGCACAATCAGATGAGGGGTGGCGACTGGGTAGAGCAGCAGGAGGCAGGAAATTACAAATAAATTCCGCTGCAGAAGGCCGTGTTTTTGTTTACACCACGTCGACACTATCACCAAAACATCTTTGATCTCGTTGTCTTTCCAAGTCAGCGTTTGGCTGCTCTTTTTTTATCCTTTGAATTATATCAGATTTGCATCCATCGCGTGTTAGTAATGTCATCAACCTGTTTTCCAGACGTCTTTTCTGCTGTATTCTCACTTGGGCTCAACTTTCCAGACATTTTACCAGGGGGCTGCAGGAGAAGTTCTGGAAAATGTCCAGAACAACTGACTAGGACACACACATACAGCCCCTCCGGAAAATGTTATGGGAAAAAGTCCAGACTTTAGTGCGTGTCTGAAAGCTGCTTTAGTCTTTTAACTCATCGTACTTCATACCTCCCTTACCATGTTTTTCTCTATCTTTAAAAATACATTCCCACATGTCTATTTTACATTTGTCTGATTGATTCTGTTTTTTTAACAAAACTTTATTATTTCTCTGTCCCGACCGCTGTGTCTTCTTCTCTCAGCTGATGTGGCACGCTCCATGGGGGCCAAAGTGGTGATCGCTATTGACGTGGGCAGCAGAGATGAAACCAACCTCACTAATTATGGCGACTCGCTCTCAGGCTGGTGGCTGCTATGGAAACGCCTCAACCCACTAGCTGAGAAAGTAAAGGTAATGGATTGATTAAAAATAAAGACGCAACATACTGTGCAGGGATGTGTTTTAAAAATAAATGAGTCCTATGAATAACAATGAGGATATCTTTGGTGTGTGTGGTTTTTTTTAATCAGTGATACATACATTCATCCCTTCACTTCTGGTCTCAGGTGTTGAACATGGCAGAGATTCAGACACGGCTGGCTTACGTGTGTTGCGTGAGGCAGCTGGAGTCTGTGAAGAACAGTGAGTACTGCGAGTACATCAGGCCGCCAATCGACAGATACCGCACTCTGGAGTTTGGAAAGTTTGATGAGATTGCTGTAAGTTTGAGAACGCTTGTGATTCTGATTTCTATTTTGTTTTCTCCTCAGCTGTAAGATCTTTTGTTCTGTTTCCCAACTTTGTCATGATAACAATTATTTCACTCCCACAATGCACTCAGAATTCATTATGTTTCAAAATCTCTGGTGTAGAAAACGATACTGATAAGTGTGTTTTTTTTTTTGTCTGGGCGACGTAGGAGGTGGGATACCAGCACGGCAAGACTGTGTTTGATGTTTGGAGACGCAGCGGAGTGGTGGAGAAAATGTTGAAAGACAGACACCAGGAGGACTTCCACAACAGCCAAAGCAAGAACAATGTAAGGATGAAGGGAGACGCTGTAGAATATGTGATAAGAAAGTCATTGAGGATCATTTCATGTGGAGCAACAACAGAGTCTGGGCCTTATTTTACTTGTGATTTGCCAAAATGTCACAACACAATTTTGTCATTTTGCCGACTGAAATGCCAAATTTGTAATATTACAAAATTTAGAGGGTGAATATCAGAAGTTATACTTAAGTAAATGTTTTACAAATTAGCACCACATTATCTTAAGTAGCTTAAGAAACTGGCTATTATATTTAATTGTCTATTACACAGACTTTGTTTGCTGGTGTATCAATAATTACCCTTAATTTAAAACATATATCACCAGAAATTACCCTTTCTTACATTATTGCAACCAGCGAAAGAAGTTTAGTGAAGAGAAGTGAGAGTATTCTTACAGAGTTAATGTCATGAAATTGATCAGATTACTAAAGTAAAATGTCCCACATCTGCCAGACACATTCCACATTCTCTTTCATTCCCTCATGATCCGTCTTCTCACTGGAAATGTGTAATCACCCAAATGGTTTTAATTCTCTGGTGCCATTTTATCTCCGTGTTACTGTCTCTAAAATATATGATCACTGCCTGCCACAGTCTGTTGTTCACATCGTCATATTTCATTTCCACGCTGCTGATAAAGTAATAACAATAAAGCTATGAATCAGTCAGCTCTTTAAGTCCAGAGGAATTCACCATAGAGCAGATTTGTCCCCCAGCAATGTCAAAGAAAAACAAAGGACCAACTAAACAAGACAAAAGACAGAATGACGAAGAAATGCTGAAACATTTGCCCCCAATTTACACACAAATATAAAGAGTGTGATGTAGAATTCATCAAGATGATTAAGGAATCAAACAACAGTGGAGAGAAGAGTGGAGCTGCAGTTATAGTCGCAGATTTGAAACCAAAAGACTGTTTTATAAATAAATCTGCTCATTCTTTAAAACAATAGCCATCCCACATAGGCGGATAATGAGTGTTCTTCTATTTTCAGATGCCACCGACTGTAGGGTACAACTCTCAGGGGAGATAATGCATCTCTTTTCCATGAGGGATGTTTCGCAGCTCTGTATGTTCAACAGTGCTGCTCAATAAACACAGAACAAAAACTAAATCTGGAGTCAAGAGATGTTCAAACAAGAAGGACGAGTTTGTTGCGATCAAATGACAAAATGCGAGAAACGCAATGGCTTTGTCCTAAATCACAGACTAGTCCACTGCATAGTGAGGGTGGTATTTTGTAGTGCTGTCTGAATGCTTAGTGAGAAAACCGTGAAGAGTGCGTACAACTGACTGTCATGGGCCGAGCAATATATACTGTATACCAGCATGCATTGCAGGTCTTGGTCTTAAACTGTTAAATGTAACTTCTGCAGAAACCCAGACATGAAACTCATGTGGAGTGAACGAGTGATTTCATTTCATTTGGTCCTTTAACAATCCTTACACTTCCTCTAAAGGTTCATTAAAATAATGGAAGCAATCAGTTCAGGTCAGACGTGCTGGACAGGAAAACTTCATCACAACTCTGTCCGTTTTACTTTCTGTTTCTTTTAACGACTGTTATAATGGTGTTTTCGTGGACGGGATTCATTTAGCTGTGGAAGACCTTGGTCAGGTCTTGTTTTTCATCTCCTGACTGAACCAGTGTAGTTTTTACATCAGAGCAGGAAAAATGTGAGAAATCTGCACAAAGTTGCTGAAACTGAGACTAAAAGTTTTCATCCCAATAATCAGCTTCCTTCCCTTCTTTTTAGAGAAGCTGCCGTTTCTTCTTCCATCAAATGATTTCAGTGTCATGAGTTCTAACAGACGAGGTGTTAACCCCCGGCAGCCGCTGCAGTTACATCACAATGGAACCAGTTCATTAACTTAAACCTACAGATTTAAATTACATCCCGGTTACTTAAACAGGTTTTAGATTGTGTCCATTTTCAGGGTTTTTATTTAATGAATGTGTGTGTTTGTGTTTGACTCTCAGGTGGTGACGTGTCCCAATGCTTCCTTCACTGACCTGGCAGAAATCGTGTCTCGCATCGAGCCCGTTAAACCTGCTCTGGTGGATGATAAAGGTACAGACACACACACACGCACACTCCAACACTCTTTATTTCAGCCACAATCATAGTTTATTTTGAGTCTCAAACATGTGCACACACTGTTTGGAGATACTATTATCATTTCTCCTCCATGTTTGTCTTTCCAGTGCTCGCTCCCAGTTGTTCTTGGATGCGTTTTTGTTTTCCTGTCACACTCTATTAGCAAATGCATCAGTTTCCCATGGAAGAGGAAAGGGATTGCTGCAGCCTCACTGCAGAGGAAAAATTAGAATATCAATTACGTGCGTCCACTGAACACACACACACACAAAGGATGTAACACGCTGATGGAAAGTGGGACCTTAACATCTCAAGTAGAAACAGTTGAGATACATACATGACTTATATTTAGAAACCATGTTGAAGGGAAACATGATACGACATCCTGTGATGTAATCCTCACATATCCTCTTCTTTCTTCTGATCAACTCCACGTATTCAGAGAAGAACATATTCACCTACAATGTTCTGTTGTCCTTCTCCTGATCAGAGGAGTCAGACTACCACACTGACTATGAAGAGGAGGCGGTGGAGAGCGCTCTGTCTGACATGGAGCTGTACAACCGATCAGGAGAGCACACCGAAGGGGAGGAGACTGCTGACACGGTGCGAAACTCCACTTGTTCATGTGGACACTGTGGGATCTAATAATCACAGCATTTACACAGTGTTTGTCTAAAACAAGCATCATCTCAGGTTAAACTGTGAATGGGAACCTCTCTAATGCACTTCTGTTATGGATTGAATGCTCTGCTTCTTATTTTTAGTCTCCACACCAGTTACTGGGCACAAGTTTGTCCTGGAGCCAGGCCAACTGCTGCTTTAAAGAAGGATCAATAACAGCATAAAATATATTCTAAGCTTAATTGGAAGACGCTGCAAGGCCTCGTAATTTAACTAAAGCGTTGGTTCTAGTGAAGAGGCAGCGCTCAAGACTTTGGGCTCTGACTTTGTGTCAAAAATGAGGGTATTTTCTGGAGTCAAAACTCAATTAAGCCTGAATAATGTTCCTCAACACATGAACTCCCAAAGTTTTCTACACACACACACACGATTATACACGTCAGCCTCTGGTACTTCGGACACAAACTGGAGTAAAGAGACAATTAGTGAAAACAGTTTGGAGGAGTTCAGTCCAGACCACTCTGACCGTACACTGCGACCAATTAACTGACTGTAATTAAGACAATACAAGGATGAGTGGTTAGAAATGATCAGATCACTCAAGAATCACATCAGTGTGGAGCCTGACTGATGTGGATATTTAGGGGTCTGTGATGAGGGAGAAAACTATTTCTTATTATTGGCTGATGATGTTGTTATCAAACCTTTATGACAAAGAAATGTTAATGAGGTTTGGTATTTTACAGTTTAACCATAATTTAATAACGAGAAAACACAAATGCAACCAAATTTATAGAACTTTAATCGAGAAAAATAAAAGCTGATAATTTTTAACTGGTCAGGCTCTAGTTCAAATCAGATAAAATATTAGAATGTTAAATGAAAGTGAGCGTTTCATAAGATCCACATTTGTCTCTAGAAAGATTATAAGTTGTCTTTACAACTTGATAAAATGTCTTGAACATTATTCTGATTATTTGTCTCTTCTCTTCCGATCAGCAGGATGAAGATCTGGATTTGAGTCGCAAACATCGTTTAACCAAACTCACTGCCAGCGAGAAGTAAGTGCCCGAACAGTCCACGAAGAGAAGACAGGACTAACGAACTCTGCTGGAACAGGTCATCATGATTTAACCTGCGTCTCTTGGCCACACGTTACCCTCCAGTTGGTCCCATGTCACTCAAACCTCCTCCATCCTCCCCCGAGACTATCGGAGTAACCCTGATTACCATCGTGCCCTCTGTAACCCGGCCTCGTTAGCTGTGTGGCTCACAAGCTCAATGCAAAGTCCCTTAAAAAAACCCTGCTACAGCCAGAACAAGATTTACTAAGCTACAAATCTTAGTCTGAACAGAAGCAGCTGAAAGCTTCATTATTCCTCATATTGAGAGTGGAGATGACTTTCTGTAGCTTTACATGCACTAGTCCAGTGGAAGATCATGAAGAAGATAGGAAACGTAACAAGATACATCACCTCTGAAATATTTATTTCATGAAAACAGTGAATCTTTGTTGAAAACAGAAGTTACAGAGTCACTTTACTGAAATAAAGAATGTTTTATTTTCATCTACACATGTAGATCACTCTTACATCCCCATCAATGAGGTTAATCTCCAACAGGATTAAAATATCAGATAAAAAACAGAACCACGTCTAAATGATTAAATACGTTACTCAGAGTCGCTGTCATCGCCCCCCCCCCCATCCACACTGACTTCATGTTGATGCCTTTAGTGTTTTGGGAGCTTAAATTGAGCCTGAACCACACTCTTCAAAAAAATAACCATGAGCACATACAGCACATCCTCCGAGGCTCAACAAGCCCACATTTACATTCATTCAATCCGTAGTTTTATTTTGAAAAATCCTGGATTCAACCCTTGATCCGGATCCATGCCACATTTTACTGGGTTCTCTGTTCCGACCCAAACCACATCCTTTCACCAAGTGTCGTGGTAACGTCCAGTACCTCGTTGGCTCGGGCGATTACAAAATTTGATTTGAGTAAAAATGAGGCTTTAAAAGATTTTGTTTCTTTCAAGGATATGGAAAGATTTGACAGTTTGAGTCCCTCCTTTCATTTCCTTGTTTCTGTCCTTTAAAGTTTTGCAGACACAGTTAATGTTGTGAACATCTTCAACTCTCACTCTGCAGTCAACACGAATTTAAAAAAATCAAGCAGCATGGTCGAATTAGTCATGTACATACACACCACACACCACACACACACACACACACACTCTGGTCTCACACTGACGGCAGCACAGTGTGGATGTGTTGGGTGAACTCAGCTCGTCTCAGTGAACTTTATGCACAGCGACTTTGTTTGAGTCACGTCTTCACGGGAACATGCTGTAACATTTTTGGGCCAAAACCTCTTTCCACCTTTTTTTTTTTTTTCTTCTCCTTGGTGATTTGGATCTTCAGTTTTTTGGAAACTGCAAAAGAAAAAACCCCAGATGTTGTTAGGTACATATTTTATAGTCAAAGTGGTGAATAATTCAACATGTTTCATATTTAAAGGAAGAATGTATACAACCTCAGCCGTACATACATTTCTGCACAGGTCACCACAGTTGGACAATCATTCCACAGATGCAATGCAATGCACAACTAACAAACTGTTCTAT